GGGGCTGAGGAGCACAGCTGACTGTGCAGGCTGCAGCACGGGGCTGAAGGGGGTATCAGTCTCCACAGTGAAGCTGAGGCTGCTGCAGGCTGCTCTACACAGAGGAGCTGAGGGCTACGGCCCAGGCCACTGTGCAGGGGAGGGCGTGGCAGCTAGTGCCACCCGGGTTTGTGGTAACGTAGTCCGTGGTGCCTGCACAGGGGAGCCAGCGTGCGTTCACACAAAAGTGTATCTCCAAGATCTCCTCTGGGCAGTATGAAGCAGTGCACGCTTGTTCCAAGGTGCCTCGGGCGCTGATTTCCCAGACACTTTTGTCCTACTCTTCTCCAGAAAGCAAGATGCCACATGGTTTGAGTATGAAATGTTCCCGCAGGTTTGTGTATGTAAGACTTGGTCCACAGCTGGTGCCACTGGCTTGTGGACTTTTACCAGGTGGAGCCTCACTGGAGCAAGGGGGTCTGGAGGTTCTATCCCCATCCTCCCGTCTGCTCCTCCTGGCATCTTCCTGCTTGCAGCAGCAGTGTGACCTCACATTTTTCTGTTGGAGAGAAGAGCTGCTCCCCCACGCCTTCCATGAGGGATTGTCCCCTCTGACCTGAGGCCCAAACAGCCCCCGCTTTGCTGAGTCCTTTCTGTCTGTGTTTCTGTCACCCTAACTAGCTAATGCACAAGGTAATCATTGACTGGTGTGTGTGGGCTCTGGAAAAGCGCCCTCCATTAGCCGAGTACTGTGCACATTGCAATAAGGAGCTGACGGGACCGCAGCCTGCAATTGAAGTGATGGATTGGCAGTGTCTGCTGGCTCAATGTTCTAACTGCTATGTTTGCACAAAGTGACAGGAACAATTAACTTATTCAACCCGAGATCCTTAAAAACCGCCCTCATGAGCTGTGAAAACTTTGGTGATAATGGATGTGTGTATTTGTTTTCGTTTTCTGTGTGTTTTCAGTTGAGGATTGTGAAAATGAGTTCTGAAGTGTGTAGCGTCTCCCCTGTGCGTTTGGATGGGGAGGGCTCAGCAAGAGCAGGAGAGCCCTGGGGTTGGGAAGACTCAGGGTGGCGAGCAGCAGCTGCCCTTTGACCTGCCGTCTCCCCTTGGGCGCGATGGCGCTGTGTGAGGGCCTGCGGCCCAGCGCCAGGGAGGGTCGGCTCCTTCCTTCTTTTGCCCCATCCGTGTTAGGGGCTTCCGAATAATCTAAGGCGGCGCTTGGCACCAGGACCAAGGGGAAAGCAGGGCAGGATAATTCTGCCTCTTACCTTCCATGCGGCAATGAGAAGCTTATTGTACATGATCTGATTTCCTTCAAGATGCAAAAATAAAATTGTAAATGAGGTAAAGGCAACTATATCCTAAAGCATGCGAATTACAGTGAAGCGTTGGAAGTTTGAATATCCTAAGCATCTTAGTGGATGGGTTTTTCTTCTATAGAGGGTGGACTTCAGGATCTTTCTCATTATCTTGGTGGTGCTCTGTTAGATGACACTGAATGACACCAAGGAAATAAAATTGTACTCTGCTTGGGCTTAAGGAAAACCCAACATTAACTATTGACCTGGTTAGTTTTAGTTTTAACTGTCAGCCTGGCACAGACTAGACTCACGTCACAGGGGAGATTCAGTTGAGGAGTTGCCTAGCTCAGGCCAGCATGTGGGCACGTGTGTAAGGAATTGTCTCGATCAAGTGTCTTGTTACATGAGGCTGGAAGGTCCAGCTCACTACAGTTGTGGTCCTGGCATGTAAAAGAAAGGGAACTGAGTATGAGCCTCCGTGAGCGGGCAGCCAGCAGCATTCTTCCTTTGTTTCTGCCTCAGGTTCTTGCTTTGACATCCCTCCACAAAGGACTGTGACCGGACAGCGTAAGCCACAAAATCCTTCCCTGAGCTGACTCTAGTTAGAGTGTTTAGTTACAGCCACAGAAAAGTACTACAAAATGATCGCATCTTTGTGTGTCTGAGGTGGCGTCTTACAGTGTAGCCCAGGCTGATTTTGAACTCCTGACCCTTTTGTCTCAGCTTGTGTCCTAAAACAGCTGGGATTACACATGCAGTGCCATAGCAGGCTTGATTATCCTGGTTTGAAGCTAGAGGGAAAAGATGGAAAGGGACAGGATGAAGGTGGGACCCAGATTCAGATAGCACTGAAGGGGTGGTGGACGACTCTGTCCTGGGACACTTCCCAGGGACCTCTGCCTTTCTGCGAACTCTGGCCTCGTGAGCAGAGAGAGGATAATGAGCCATCCCCGAACCGCCACTGTTCCCTTTAAAACTATGACAAACATGGCGGCCATTTCCTCTAAGGAAAGCGATGCTGCAGGGCTTTGCCTTTGCCTTGGCTCTTTGTACTGTACCATGGCTCCCTGCGCAGCTTTGTTTATAGGACTTGCCCAGGCATTTGTATCCCATCTAAAAAAAAAAATAATAATAATCAGCACCTTCGGAGCCAGCCTGCTCTCAGTGGTGCTCTCCTGTGTGTCAGTGGCCATTTCTGCTGGGCTGGACATGGTCTGAAGGTCGTTTTCTGCTGTGCTGTCTCCCAAGTCTTTGGTGTGGGGATGTGGTTACACTAAAGGCCCTGTCTGTGATGGTCAGCTTCATTGTCAACTTATTCCCAAGAAGTCCCAAGAATCACCTGGGACATGGGCCTCTGAGCAGTACCAGCTGGCATGTCAGTGGCCACACACACAAAAAGCCCTTTCTCTGATCTGCGTGGGTCCCTGTGGCTGTAGGACTCCAGGCCCTGTGACGAGCAGTCCTGACACCGGTGTGAAGCTGCCCTAGGGGCCAAGCCTGCCTGCCCCATGACTGTGCTCCGTACAATGTTACCATGCGTCCTATTCGATACAATGTTACCATGCACCCTATTCAATCAATACACTGTTACCATGCACCCTTTTCAATACAATGTTACCGTGACCCCTTGGCTCAATACAATGTTACTGTGTATCCTTTTTAATACAATGTTACCATGCACCCTTTTCAATACAATGTTACCTTGCGTCCTTTGCTCTATACAATGTTACCGTGAACCCCTTACTCAATACAGGTGTTACTGAGCACCAGGAGGAAAGGCAGACCTAGCAGTCACGGTGGTAAGGCTCCTGTTCAGAGTCAGGACAGGTTGAGGAGTAAAATGAGAAGCAGCGAAGAAGGAACTGGTACAGTCACTGACCATCTCTGAGCCCCCAACTCCATGCCACACTGTAGACACTCACTGGACAGTTCTGTTACCTCCCTGCCTGGTTGCCCAAGAACTGTTTATATTGGACCCCAGTTCTTGACAGTTTCCATAAGTAAGACAAGATCTTAGGTTGGTACGCTACTTTTCTTTGTAAGCCTGGG